GAAACAATTAATTTAATGCAACAGCGACTGCAGCAACGAAACACTGTCGGATTTTAGAGCCGTGAAGATCGTTTTAATCAATTCTAAAAAAATCGTAAATTTATTATTACAGGAATGGTCGATTTGTGGACAAAAAGTTTACGCGGTTGTCAATGCCCTTTTAACACCACGTCAAACGATTGTGCGTGTTGTGAGAAAAATGGGGGATGTCACTGTGGAAGTGCTGTTCCAACTCGATGCTCTCAGTGTGGTCTACAACAATATTGTGGAGGAAGTAAGCTATATATATATATAAAATATTTTATTTTTGAAATTCACATTTTTGCGCGTTAAGAGTAAAATTTAAAAATGCAACGGAAATGAAAATAGGGGTAGAAGATTGCGTAACAGTTATGAAAGAGTAAATAACCGGCAAAGTACAGGTACATGATTGTAGGACTGACTTATATAAGTTTAAAAAATAATAGTGACTTTTTTAAGTAATTGATCTATCTCATCGTCCGCTATTTTTAATTTTGGAAAAATAATATGTATTTTATATTAACATTTTAATAAAAATTTTCGTAGTTTGATAATAAAGAAACTGGTTTTTCACGAAGTGGAAAACAGATATTGAGTTTTTTAAGTCAATGCAATATTGGTGTTAAAAGAACATTTATTAAAAAAACTACAGCCGAAGTTTCGCCCACGTTGTTGGTTTTCTTAGGCTTCAATGTAAGATAGAAATTAATATTTTAATGAATAGGCCACATAAAGATCAATGTGACTCATTCTTTTTATTTAATACAAACTACGGGAATAATGATCAATAGGAAGATGGATATCCTTAAAATCGTAGCATTTTCATTGTTCTTTGTTTCAAGGAGAAAGAACGATTTTATATGATATATTTTGAGTAATTTTCACTTTAACCCTATCTTTGCCGATTAATATTCAGGACGCATGTTTCGCTGATTGAGAAATATCCTTTATTACTTCTATACGTTATCCTTTTATACGAAGTGTGAATATATCAAATTAAATGAAGCAGCAATGCTCTAAAGGAGGACAAAAGTGCTGTTAAAAAGAGCACCTACTGTTAGGAGCATATACATATATAACGATTTTTCAAATGTAGACAAACACCGCTATAATTCATTTGTTAATGTGCCATGCAACAACAAAAAGCAATGATAAACAGGTCTACAGTAATGGACAAATAGGGTATTTTCAGTGTGCAATGTCACCATTCAAAGTTCGGATATACAGAAGCGGTCTAGGAAGTCATTCGGCCAAATAAAGCCGATACCATTGGACGGCCCCGGGGTTTGTATATTCACATTGATCCCTACACCTCACCAGAGGGTTGAAATACAACTCTACCGGTTCAGGAACATCGGATACTTCAATGGAACCAGGTTAGCCTTTATCCTAATTATGTCGAGTGCAAGCGCCAACTAATTATCACCTACTGTCCCTAATAAATTAAATCTAAACAGGGTGTTTAATGGTATTTCACTTAAACTAATTTTTGTCAAATATATTTCCAAATGATTACACTTCTTTGGATGGTATGGGTCAGCGGTCACGTCCTTAATAGGACAGCGAGTGGTTCTGGCCCCGGCGGCCACTGCTGTTTACTGATTGGGGCAAGTTCACACCCTAACCACTAGAGGAAGCATTGCTGTATTATTATCTTATTTAAATACGTAATCGTAAAACGTGTAATCTAATCTAATCATTAACGAAATTCCGCAATACCTTGAACTTTTTCCAAGTTTCTTTGGCCATTAAACACTTTGTTTAATTACCTGATTAAAAATTAGTATATTTGTTTTGAATTTTTCTAGTTGTGTAGGGGGCTATATACAGTTAATAGGTGGAATTGATAGCGTTAATGAAACTGACGAAAAGAGATTTGATCAATTTTGTGATCGGGATGAAAGGTTTCGACCTCCCCTGGTTTTGTTCGCTGATGGAGGCCGAGCACATCTTATATTTCGGTAAAGAAATATAAAAATAAACGATATTACAAGCCAAAAATATTGAGAAATACATACACGCATTTCTTTTGTTTTAATTGAAAGAAAGGCATTAAGTTGTTTACTAGAGTCAGTGCTGTCTCGAATTAAAGACATATTTGTGCAAGAAAGTAAACAAGAGTGTTCAAAAAAGTATTTCTTTGTTGGCTTGTTATAGAATCCCAAAAATAAAAAAGTAGACAAAGAAAATATGACAGTCTGCTAATTCTGTTACTTAGTATTACAGAAAAATTCAGAACTCCATCGGACTTCTTCGCTTTCTTTAGTTTCACGTCAATTAATGATAAAAGTGTTGGATTTCAACCAAAAGGTGGAATGAAATTACAAACGTCAAGTAAGCGACAGCGATTAAATAACTGACATGTAATTGTCGAATAATTAAATAACATTTTAGATTGCGACTGGTTATATGAAGACGCTAATTGTAAGTCTGGTTGTACTTTAGCTAGTCCAAACTACCCTGGTCCTTACCCTTCCTTCGTTAACTGTACTTACACTATAAGCACGTCAAGTGAAAATGTTTGGATCCGAGTGTCATTTTATATTTCTACCCCCGATAAGTAAGTCTTCACAAAAATCTAACAGGTAGTATCTAATTAGGGCTAAAAAAATTATCAAATCAATCGAAATTAAACTGATTACGTTTCGATTATTTTGAGTATGAATAATAATATAATTAATAATTGATTAAATAATCGAAATAATTTTCGATAATCGATTACCAGACATTAATTATTCGCAGCATATTCATTTTTATTAAATGTAATATAAAAATTCTTATATGGGCACTCCTACATCTTTTATGAAATGTACTGTACAACACTACCAAAAAATATTGCTTCTATGGGGTTTATTTTATTCAAAATGAAGCCATCACACGAAAGTTATCAGTGATAAATNTTATCAAATCAATCGAAATTAAACTGATTACGTTTCGATTATTTTGAGTATGAATAATAATATAATTAATAATTGATTAAATAATCGAAATAATTTTCGATAATCGATTACTACTAATAACAATAGCAATTTCATTATTGTTTTTAGACAATGCCTCACAGATAATATCTCCATTTATCAGGGATTTTCCGATATACCGGTGGAGGTTCTTTGTGGATACAAGAGACAAGTGTTCAACTTCTATGGTCCAAAAATTAGAGTAGAATTTCGGTAACATTATTATTATTACTTATACGTTTTCCCAATTTAGTTTTCAAGGGAGGGCACCTAGATTTTAGTTAATTTGCAATTTTCAATTAAAGATGTGTTTTATTTTCTTTTATTTGTCTGACGATTCCTATCCGATTTCCTTGTCTAAAGTTTTCGTCAATTATTTCAAATTCTACTCGAATGAGTTTTAATGAATTAAAGGCTAATGATGTTTTAAAAAATTTAAGAAATAAACTTCAGCCGATCGTCTAATTGTATCGTCGTCAATTGGAGATGTAATTACATATACAACTCCAATGAAATTGCATTTGATCGACGTATTAGTTATGTGTAACGGCTTTCGTTCCAATTTTCGACTAGTGTTGTATCTGTATCAAGTCTATAGATATTTGCAAATAAATAACCGTATGACAGACATCAAATAATTGACTACTTGGTAAACCTGTTAATCGAATAATCGACTAATCGTAAGAGGTCGAATTGTTTACTGGCTGTTTATTCGCATATATCCACTTTGTGCAATTGGTCAGTAAATACACGCAAGCAAATGCGTTGTTTAATGTCTCTATACATATAGGTAAATTCGTTTACAAGCGACTAGCCTAATTAAACAGATTACACCCCCATTTACAAGATATGAACCGCCGGCTATTATCAAAGCATCGATGCAGTAACATGCTTTATATTAAAATGTTGCGGGAATTACAACTGCTCGTTAAATTTTAGTGCGCCGAACTACCTTTTAAAAACTTAACGGTAGTAGACGTGACGTGTTGAAACTCCATTATAATTTTAAGAAAAATTCAAAGTGCTTTTTTCTTAAATTATTGCGAAATGGTTTGCTAAAAGTATTTAAATACAAAATGCAAATGCTTCTTCAAATGTAAAGTACAAAATAATTTTTGTTTTCCTTGTGTTTTAAATGCTAAATGCAAAATACGTATTTTAAAAATACTTTAGGTAATATTTAATTTAATTTAATTAATAACAGTTCTTATACATGCTTCCTTATATGCATTTGGAACCCTTTATAATTTGAAAAAAGACATGACACTGATGCCAAAATGGTATTGTAAAGAATTTCATTGATGTAAAACAAACACATTTTTATATCAAAAAAATATTTACAACCCCATTTAGGTTCTGATGTTTTACACATCGTAATGAGACAAATAAGTTTACTTAGCTATAGGCTTATCTAATAACTAATTATTTTAAGACTTTGAATAGAATTAGACTTAGAATTTGACGTTGTTTTCCGGGCATCTTTTGCAAATTGAAAATACGTTTGGATAAGTATTTTACATAAAATACAAAATGCTTTTTATCAAAATAGTATTCAAATGCAAAACAGAAATAAGTATTTTGTATTTGCTGTAAGTAGGAAGATTATTTTTCAATTTCTACCTATTTTGATTTTGAAGTCTATGGTTGTATAAGAGATGCCGACGTTTCCTTACGTGTCATATGAAACATCCAGAAACAGGTCCTGAAAATTCAGAAAATGAATAGTTGTTCTCTTAGCAATTGAGGATGCCCTGAGAAAATGAAGAATGGGACATTCAATTTTGGAAAAAGCACTATTTGAGTCGCATATACCTTTTATTTGAAAGCATCTAGATTTTAATTCTCCTTAGGGATAATTGCAAAAGTTGGTTACCTAATAATAATTATTGTTTTTAGATCAGGCAGAAAAATACCTCCATTCAATTTTTATAGAGGTTTTAAAGCAAAATTATCTTTTTATGAGAAAGATGCCTCGGTAACGTTGCCTATAACCAGTCCGAGTGTTAGTCTATATAAACCCTCCACTTCTACGCTTCAAAGCACAAGTACGAATAATATATATATATATATTACCAAAATTTCTTTTAATTAATAAACTTTTAATTCAAGTGCCTTACACAACTTCACTACCTGAAGATTTCTTACCATGTGAAATTTTGATATCTGGTAATAATACCAGATCTGGTCACTTTGATACACGCGAACTCGATTGGCACTCTTTATGCCGATGGACTTTCAAAGGACATCCTACTGATGTTGTACATATCTCTCTGTTCAATTATCGTCTCAGGTAAAACCGTTTTCTCTAGTCANTTTAATAGTGTTTAAATACAAAATGCAAATACTTTTTTACTTTTTTGATTTGTCATTTCAAATGTAAAAGAGAAAATAGATTTCTCTGTCGTATTTTAAATGCTAAATGCAAAATACGTATTTTAAAAATACTTTAGGTAATATTTAATTTAATTTAATTAATAACAGTTCTTATACATGCTTCCTTATATGCATTTGGAACCCTTTATAATTTGAAAAAAGACATGACACTGATGCCAAAATGGTATTGTAAAGAATTTCATTGATGTAAAACAAACACATTTTTATATCAAAAAAATATTTACAACCCCATTTAGGTTCTGATGTTTTACACATCGTAATGAGACAAATAAGTTTACTTAGCTATAGGCTTATCTAATAACTAATTATTTTAAGACTTTGAATAGAATTAGACTTAGAATTTGACGTTGTTTTCCGGGCATCTTTTGCAAATTGAAAATACGTTTGGATAAGTATTTTACATAAAATACAAAATGCTTTTTATCAAAATAGTATTCAAATGCAAAACAGAAATAAGTATTTTGTATTTGCTGTAAGTAGGAAGATTATTTTTCAATTTCTACCTATTTTGATTTTGAAGTCTATGGTTGTATAAGAGATGCCGACGTTTCCTTACGTGTCATATGAAACATCCAGAAACAGGTCCTGAAAATTCAGAAAATGAATAGTTGTTCTCTTAGCAATTGAGGATGCCCTGAGAAAATGAAGAATGGGACATTCAATTTTGGAAAAAGCACTATTTGAGTCGCATATACCTTTTATTTGAAAGCATCTAGATTTTAATTCTCCTTAGGGATAATTGCAAAAGTTGGTTACCTAATAATAATTATTGTTTTTAGATCAGGCAGAAAAATACCTCCATTCAATTTTTATAGAGGTTTTAAAGCAAAATTATCTTTTTATGAGAAAGATGCCTCGGTAACGTTGCCTATAACCAGTCCGAGTGTTAGTCTATATAAACCCTCCACTTCTACGCTTCAAAGCACAAGTACGAATAATATATATATATATATTACCAAAATTTCTTTTAATTAATAAACTTTTAATTCAAGTGCCTTACACAACTTCACTACCTGAAGATTTCTTACCATGTGAAATTTTGATATCTGGTAATAATACCAGATCTGGTCACTTTGATACACGCGAACTCGATTGGCACTCTTTATGCCGATGGACTTTCAAAGGACATCCTACTGATGTTGTACATATCTCTCTGTTCAATTATCGTCTCAGGTAAAACCGTTTTCTCTAGTCATTTGACTTATCTTTCAGAGTCCCATACGTCATTTAAATTTGCCCTTCTTTTACTCTAACACACGCTTATAAATTATAAACAATTAAATTATCCTAAAAATAATCAAAAGTTCAATGTATTCATTGAATTTCGTAGAGCGCCTTCCTGTAAATCTGTAATAGAAGTTTTCAATGGTTATATGGAAGATTCGAAAAGGCCTATGGATAGGATTTGTAGTCCAGAGACTAGTCAAAGTACTTCGCCATCAACCAGTCAAAGATCTTATCTATCTAAAGGAAACATCATGGTGATCATAATGCGAAGACCTACAGCCCCCCAATCCACCGACGAAGCTGAATTCATAAGTCTTCGATATTTCTTCCATGATGGTTATTATAATTTTTGATGTATTGGAATATTTGAAATGAAAAATAATTTTTAGAACAAATAAGCGGAACTATGCAACCCGAAAGTTTATGCGATGTTGTTTATTATGGATCAAAAAGTCCTTTGGCTGGAATGATGGAGAACCCAACGTCCAAATATTTTTTCGTAGTGGGAAGATTGATATGCAAACAAGTGTTCAAACCGTCAGCGAATCAAAGTGTCGAATTAACCATTTTAGGAATGGAAAATGTTTCTAAAAAAGCTCAGTGTATGACAGAGTGCGGCGATATCACCGGCTGTCTATGTGTTCCACAAAGTAGTTTAGATGAAGTAGATCACTTACTAATAGTTGATGAAAATGGCCTTAATGTTGGATGTGTTTGTGGCCAGTTCGAGAAGGACTGGTTCCCTATTAGTGTCTATTCTTGGAAAACACTTACAATTATTTATTCTATCGCCGATTATAAAGGAAAAGATAAAGGATTTACTTTTTCTGCGTCATATTCATTCAATCAGGATACCTCTTGCGGAGAAAAATTTTACACGTTACATTCAGGTCAGTATTGAACCAAAATTGTGATTTCAGCCTTCAATGACGAACAGTACTCCAGTGGCGTACCGTGAGAGGAGGGGGCCATGGCTCTAACCTAACACCTTACGTAAATTTAAGCTTCGCCCCGGGTGGCAGAAATTCACGCTACGCCACTGCAGTACTCACTGTATTTGATTTCTCTATAAAAGTTTTCAGGAATTTTTGGACCAAGAATTTGTACGTGCATGTTTTTGTTTTCTAGGAGAAATTACACCCAAAAACATTTCTAAATTGCACTTCAACCAATACTTTTATCTTAGTTGTGGATGGATTCTTCATTCCAATGTAGATCGCCAGCTAGATATAGAAATAAGTTCCAGTCACAATCGTATGTGTTCGTCAATATTAAGATACATTAATGCGAATAGATGATTTTTTTTTAAGGGCCATGCAGCTCATGGAATATTAGTATATGCGAATATAAGGCTGACGCCAAGGATTATTGTGGTAAACTTCTAGACACCTATTGTTCTAGAAATTTGAGCGACAAAGTTTACAATTTGCAATGGAAAATAAACGCGGTAGTTATAAGGTTTGTATAACAATAAACATTAATTATTTACGTGAAAGTCGAAATTTTTGGCATTATAAGAAAGATAAGTAGAATTCCAAACCGTTATAATATACAGGGTGTTCCATTTAAATAACGAAGTTAGTGTCAACTTCTGGTATAACCGAAAGTGTTACATGTATGTCGTTATTTTAATTGAGGAGAGCATACCCAATAACACTATAACCTAAATTTTCAAAATTCGAATCGAAGTAGTTTCCGAAATATTCTAATGGGCGGTCACCGTGAGACACCCTGTATATGCCGTTAAGGTAGGTATGTATTATATTCGGATTGAATTCGAGACTGTGGTCCAGGATTGGCCCAGTCCTTCAACAGTATCAGCTCAAAAGCAGCTAAAAGAAGGAATGTGAATGTCGTCGATCAACAACTCTCTACGTCGATTGACCGTAGGAATTCCAATCGTGTACCACAGCCATCGAACCTGTATATTGAATCCTCTTCGACTAATTATTTACAATTAAGAGTAATTACTTTTTGATTGTCTTTCATTTTTAATTGAAGGTTGCGCTCGTTTAGTAGAAAAATGCCGGAATTCCGGGTGAAGTGGAAAGCTCAAGTGAACCATTGGAACATAAAGTATGGGTCCACAACCCCCACTCACAACTCGTCAACGAAACCCCATTTCTGGTCAATTACAGGCCTACTATTTGTAGTGTTCTTATATTTTTATTTGTAAAAAAAGAAAAATTAATAATGTACACAATAAATATCAACAGATCTGATGTTAAATTCGTTGTTAACTGTTGTATCGGTGGAAAAAAATGTTGTCGACACTACATTTGTATGATACCAAGGCTTATGGTACAATAGGCTGAAATGAAAATGATACATGTTCTTCTGTGCGATCTAAATAAGGGGCTGCCGATAAACTATATACCTATGGACCCCTCCCCAGAACAACACGGTTTTCTTAATATTTTCAAAATAAAATTTCCATAGAATTTTATTTTAGATAACAGCAAATGTTGGACGTTGATTAGAAGTTTCACTTCATTTAACAAAAAAAAAACACTTAGGCATCAACTCCCTCCCGCATATGGTTCACAATAGCCTTTTACTCAACCCCCCTCCCTTACAAAGCTATATTTGTTTATGGACACCCCCAAGTAAACTGTCAAGGTATAACAGATACAAAGGAAAATGTGATTTTTCTTTACTTGATTTGAGAAAATTAAATGTTTTTTTTTGGTTTCATTTGTATAAATGTAGTGTCAACAGGTGCACTCCATTTGTTGTATCTAACACACAATCTTTAGGTTTTTCTAGGTACACCGGTGTTAAAAAATCTATATGTATTTTATTTAAAGTACACCTTAGTTATGGATTGCAAAATATTTGACGAATATTTTTCCTGAGATATGCTCAAAGTTGTAATCTTGCTAGTCCTGTAAATCTAGCACCTAATTGTCAATGACGATTGGTACTTGTTCTTAGAGGCAATGCTTATAAAATGTGTTTTATCTGTGATAATAAAATTATTTAAAGAATACCGGCTTATTATTGACAGTGGCAGCAAGGGTGATTAAAAAAAAAACAAACAAAATAATTTACTGTTAATACGTTCTTTTTTAAAAATCATGGCAATAATTATAATATTTGTTATTGTTATTACATAACACTTAATTAGTAAAATTATTAGGTATTAAAAATTAAAACATCTATCTATAAAGTTCATGCAGTTTCTGCAAATATGGAGTGAATTCTTTAAATATCTAAAACACGAATAATATTATTTTACCAAATGAACGAAAAAAATATTACGAATTTACTCACACTTTCGCCTAGGCAATCTTTTGGGAAAATGTCGTTTAAGCAAGGATCAGTTTGTCGTTGTTTGGTTTCCTGCCTAAATCGATAAATTAATTTCAAGGACGAGTACGGTGTCACAGGATAATTGTTGTATTTTGTCGAAATTACAGGCGTGGGAGCATTTGAAGGGTGTCGCAATATGTACGCTGTGTATGCATCTTTAGATGATCCTAAATCTCCCTTTGTAAATACCGATCTATTATCAACATATGATAACTAAAATAATAATTTTATATTTTCTAACTGTGCATAATTATATGTATATTTTTGGCTTTAACTTAACCTACCCGAAGGACATCGGGATTTTTCACTTTAGTATCATATTTAAATACGTTTCGAGATGGTTCTAAGACAAACCCATTGAAGATAACCCCATTTTGGTTCAAAACGTTTAGAGATATTCTATCGGGCCGGTAAGCGAATTCTGGAATTTTACCACCAAGATCGGGGAGCACATTTTCTCGAAACAATTGCCTCTTTTGCTAAAAGACATATAAATTATTTTATCACATCAATATCTTGTGTGTGACTACATCAATAAAAAAGTAAATTAAATCACGTGCTGGTAAAAGTGAATGTAAAATTTGGCGTGTTGTATGCAAATAACGTCATCTCCTTTTACTCTTATTACATCTCGCCTTTTTAAGTCTTCACAAATTACACTTCCTCGGAATTGTTTGCTAACCCGTTTTCTCATTTAGATCACCAATAAGATAAATATTTACTTTGAATATGTAACCGTATAATGTGTATCTCTAGGACAAAACACTTTTGGATTTGTTTACACAAAGGCATCACTGTAATAACCTAAAATAAATGTACAAGACGTTTTTGACTTACGTACATATGTACAAAAAATAAAATAAATGGCACCATTTAAAAAAAGGCAATTAATCAATTAAAGAACGATAATTTTGCAAAAAGTGAAAATTTTTTATGAGAATTGTTCAGTTTTACCAGCAAAACTTTTACGCATGTATGATGTTTAATTTCTTTACTTACTTTTCTATGTTTAGGTAAAAATTCCGCTGCTGTTAGAACTATTATCAAACCACTTATCACAAAAAGGTATGCGCTCGTTCGTGACATAGTTCGATTTGCAGGTATTTAACTATTATTTAACATCGTGCAAGATTCTTTTACATTTTACCACGCCTGCTAACTGGTACATTCTAACGGAGAAGATGTTAAACTTTCTATTATCTGTACATTACCTGTGCAGCAAATGCGCTTTATACACGATGCGCTAAATTGGAGAATGCCTTTTACTATCTTTACCTCTCCCTAACATCACAAACTATTTTCCTTGAACTTACAAACAATAATGAAGGTAATAACAGAGGATTAAATAATAATTAAAAGTATTAATTGTGGAAATCGCTGCATTTTAAAACTTCGAAAAGTAGCGTCAAGAAATCTATTAATTACAATTACCGCTAATGTTTAGCTACTTTTTCAGGGAAAGAACGCAATCAAAATATTTATTGAATAAAATAAAAGATTACATTTATCGCGCTGAAGATGACCACTTAGTGGTCGAAATACTAATCAGCATTTTTAAATAAAATATAAAATTTTTGTGCATTTTTACAACTCTATGAAATCCTATTTTTTATTATTTTTCCCTCATTAATTTGAGGTAGTTTGTAGTGGGTAAATAAAAAATTGAAAAAATGATTTCAAATTAATATTCCATATTTCTTAACTACTGTTTTTATTATTTATTTATCAGTTGTAGAAGGCTATTAAATTTTGGATAGGTATATAGTGTGTCTTAAAAAATAGTTACGAAGTAATAGACTGGTTGAGGTAGGTATTTTTATTGTTTTTTTTTTCGTCGGGGTAATTCGTAATAAATTTGTATGGTGTATATAAAGCGTAATATATCTGATACTTTCAATTATATGAAGGAGTACGCTATGAAAACCGAAGAAGTCAATTAATATTTTCACTGAACTCTGGTATTACAAGTAAATTACCTCGGTCATGCTTTCGCGTCCTAAGATTATCTTATGAGAAGCGTATTTTTTATATCTGGACTTTTACTTGACCCACATAAACCAGGAATGAGATATCCGTTGAATCAGCGTAAAACTTTATGGAGGCATGAAGATACTACGCACTAACATATTTATACCAACGCATATTCATTTTTATTAAATGTAATATAAAAATTCTTATATGGGCACTCCTACATCTTTTATGAAATGTACTGTACAACACTACCAAAAAATATTGCTTCTATGGGGTTTATTTTATTCAAAATGAAGCCATCACACGAAAGTTATCAGTGATAAATTTTGTTATTAAATTACGTCATTCAATGAATTATCTAAGAACATTATATGATCATAAAAAAAGTATTGTTATGGGATCATACAGAGCATGAAAATCACTTAAGAACAAAATAATTGCATAGAACGCATGCTTATCTAGCAATTAATAATTAGTTGTGTGTAAGATGATGAAATAAAGTAAATAAATATAATCAGGTAAGTACGATAACGAGAATTGTTCAAAAATCTGTTTAATACGTATGATCTTACACCCTGTTAATAACAGATTTTTGTAACTGGCGCGTTTTTCCACGCATTTTCATGGAAAATCCGCAATGACGCCATCTATAGTGTTATTTCAATGTTACTTGCTACCCCTCTCGCTAAAGGCTTATGCAACCTTTCTGGCGTGGAAGTGCGGACAGCTGTCTGATGCAAGAAAGCTTTGAAAGCTTAAAAGCACTAATCAATAAACACGAAAAAATAAACAGAGAAACCCCTTACAGTAGACGTTAGCATAATTCATATAGGTAGACAGTAGACTGACTATATATAGAAATAGTAGAAAAAAAATAATTATAGATACGAATATGCAAAATACTTCTTTTTAATATTGTAATACCTAATCATAATTAATTTGTTTATAGATTAAAAGAACTAATTACAATTTTGAAAATCGTTGTTCTCTACTTAGTTGAAGTGTCGATAAATTGCTGAAATAAATAATATATAACATTAATAAAAATATTGTGTATTAATTAGAGAAGTTAAAGTACTTTTAGACTACAAAGAAAAAATAGCCACTATAACACACAATAAAAGGTCCTTCTTAGAGGCATTTCCTTTAAATGTGTCAATCGTTTCCTGTCTTATGACAATCGTCTGTCAAGTTAAGGGCAGACTGACTAAGAGTTGGGGTAACTAGCTTATAGGGGATTACCTCAGGTACTCCGATTCTTGCTAATTTCATTCATGTTTCTATCCAAGAACCTTTTCATTGGGTACTCAAGCCCAGCACAATATACGATATTTTAACTAAAGTAAACATTTGTATTGATACACATTAGAAATATAATGTGAAAAGTTTTCTTTCAGCAAATACTATAATTATAAACAAATCCGCAGCAGTATTGGCAATTTTTATAAATAATTTTCAATGAATAGATGGTAAAATATTGAGGAAAAGAAAGAAGCTAACTAACTGCTTGGCACAAAGTCGAAAGAGGGCGAGGCTTCTTCATTTCTCTTTGAACTTGAAAGCTAAAAGCTTTTTAATGTATTTTACTGTCGCCTATCTGATGAATGAAAGATAAAGCTGATGAAATTTTGCCGTTAACAAATAGGTTCTTACTGACACCCTTTAATTTTATAACGTTTATGCTTTGTATGTAGATGGAACCCTATGACACAAAAGGTAAAGTTAATTAAATCACAGGTCACTAAAATTGGGAAATTATTAGTTTATCGCCTTTTTTGTCGCGCATTATCGTCACGTAAAATTGAACACAGCTTAAAAATTTTCTATAACTAACAGCAAACACATTGATCTACTGAAATAGCAAAAACTAGAGTCGACCGTTGAAAGAAAAATGAAAAATATGTACATTTCTTACATATATTTGTATCTAATCTTTACTGTATCTAATTTTAAAATATTACAGCATACTTAAATTTAGAGTGGCCTAACAATTTTTCTAAATTTTTAGTTTATATTAGAATACGCCACATCTTCGACAAACCGCTTCACAAGTACTAGGAAAAAACTATTATTTCAGTAATACCTTTTGTGTTGGTTGAAAAATTGTAGTTATTTTTTCAGTCAGCGAGTTTCATTGTGCGTTGGAGAAATTCACAAACAAATAGATTGAAAAGCTGGACAACCCTTTAAGTATTTAAATGCTCCAAAACGCGTGTCAGCCTCTTTCAACAAGGCATTCATAAACGAATACCCCTACAATAGCTTTACGCTTTAAGCTTTAGTAATCTTAACACAATCTCAAGATAACATAAGGACTTTGACAGTGTGGTCTGAAGCAACAATTCACACACGTCACACAATTGAATGAATGCACTTTTCGCTTAAAATACAATTTCAAAATAAAAACAAAAGGCAACGTATCTACTGGTAGTAGTAAGTAGTGCAGTCGAAATTTTTCTTATTATATCAGCAAGAGCAATACCGAGACCGAATAAGCAAGATCAAGACTGGGAGAGAATAAAACAATAAAACCCGGAATTCCACAAAAAACTAATTAAGGGAAATCTAAAGCACGTTTCAGCACTTGAGATGCTATCCTAAGTAGAGACAGTCACTATTCAAAAACAGCCTATTGTTTTTTGTTATCATTACAAAGAATAAGTTAGTAGACAATATGGATTATAATAAGGAGATCCAAGAGTTCTGCATGTTTTGTGTGAACATTAGTAATTTGTTTTCGATTATGTTAATGGAAAGTTTTGCAAATGATGGTGTATCATTAGAGTGTTGTGTGTATAGAAACACAATACGTGATAGAGATACGGTTGGACTGTAACCAACATTAGTACAATAGTAGAATCGATCAACGAACGTCCGTCCATTCGGAAAACCACGATTCAAAATGGGCTAATTGACTCAAATTATCTTCAGTGCTTTGGCTTTCCAATTACAGTTACCCTGAAAGCGCTTATTTTTTTCCAGACTTGTTTTATTTAGTCACTGTTCTGCTACATTGGAAGCTCGCTGCTTTTTGTAAATGCGACATTAAGGATTAGCCATTGTTACAGCCCATTTCGTCACATGCTCGAGCTTTTTTAAGCTCCAACAGACTTTTATACAGTTAATTAATTTTCCCACTTCTGGAACTCGTTCCACAATACCAAGCTTTAAAATTAGCCTGTTTCAATAAAAAAAATTATTAACTAAAAAAAGTATGAAACAAAACTCTGTAAAGTTTCATTTTCAAGAACTAATAATAATAATAAAATTATTCCAAGTTAAATTTTAGCGATTGTATTAGACAAAGTACATAGATCAGTTCTGTAAGTAAGAATCTCTTTTTTTTTGTATCTATGTATTCCATATGAACATTTTGTTCTAAACTTAGTTAATATGACAGATTAAGAAAATGTGGCGCCTACAGGAGAGTGAAGCTGTTTGAGAATTCAAACCAATACCCCATAATTCAGCCCTAAAACGAGCAAAATATTTAAATCATTGTTGACATAATTAGATCAGAACTGTTCCAGCGGGCTGCTGGTTCCTCTGCGTTGCTTGATTGTTTTATTACAACACGAGTAAGGGAGAAAAAAATTAGCTTGTTATTACATCTATCACACGGTCTTTACCGCTATTAGTTAATAAGGGGGCTCGAACACTTTGACATATCCTTGGGGAGAACTACGCGCTTCATCCCTTGTACTTATTTACATATCTAACTGGTAACCCGATATGCTCTACAAATGTTTCGTTTGTCCACTGATAATCTCATTCAACCAGTCATGAAATACTACATATTTCAATACACAATAACAAAAGTTGAATTATTTATACTAGTTAAAAACGTACACACGGTTGTTTACGTTGGGTTAGGTACACTAGGTTAGGTTTCTGGACATTTTACTATAAAAAGACGTAATTTTACTAGATCCATATCCAAATTTTTTGTTTCTGATTGAATCAGATATTTTGGACGCGGTAACAACAGCTTAAGTTTAAATTTTCTTAACATTTCTGATGCCTAAGGATTGGTTAGGTTGGGTCGCTTTGTGATTGATTGGATTTTTTTTTGTGTTAGGAATTTTTGTAATCATGTGCGATAATTTGAGACATCTAGTT